CGATGATCCCGGTGCTGGGAGGCATATTACCCTTTTACTATATAGGATAGAGGCCTGGTGCACGGGTGGGGGCTGGCTGGTTTGCCCTGAAGGGTGTCCTGGATCAGGGTGGGGGTCCCCACTGGGGTGCCTGGCCAGTCTGGGTGAGGGGCTGAGGGCTGTTTTCCAGAAGCGAGTGACTGAAGCTTCCAACCGCTCCTTGTTTTCTTTTTTTTTTTTTTATTCTGGGCCAGCTTTAGCTCTGAGGCCTCGCCGCTAAAAACATCGATACAATGTTGCTAAAGCCCGGCTGAATGAAAGCCGGTTTCTGGGGTTTTGTTTATCTTCTTATTTGCAACATAGTACATAGTTGCTTAGAGTTGTAGCTCAGAGGCCGGCAGCGCAGGCGGGGAACGTTGGAGTCCTCCTTCACTGCAGCAAGCAAGCCTCATGTTCGCTTCCAGCTGCCTGGCTGCCGGCCGCCATCTTGGCTGACAGTTAATTTGCATATACTCACTGATTAGCCAATGAAAAGGGTAGCGGTCGTAAGCTAATTACCATGTTTCTCTTTTATTAGTGTAGATAGATAGTTACTTTTTTAAAAAAAGTTTTGTATCGTCCTCATATCCTGAGGCCTTGCTGAACTCACTTACTAGTTCTATTTTTTTTTTTTAAATATATTTTATTGATTTTTTACAGAGAGGAAGGGAGAGAGATAGAGAGTTAGAAACATCGATGGGAGAGAAACATCGATCAGCTGCCTCCTGCACATCTCCTACTGGGGATGTGCCCGCAACCCAGGTACATGCCCTTGACCGGAATCGAACCTGGGACCTTTCAGTCCGCAGGCCGACGCTCTATCCACTGAGCCAAACCGGTTTCGGCAACTTACTAGTTCTATTTGCATTTTAGTCAATCCCTTAGGATTTTCTTTAAAATATATATGTATATTTTTATTGACTTTTAGAGAGAGGAAGGGAGAGGGAGAGAGAGAAACACTGATGTGAGAGGGAAACATCGATTGGCCGCCTCCTGGACACCCCCACCAAGGATCCAGCCCACAACCCTGGCATGTGCCCCAACCGGAAATCGGTGCACAGGATGATGCCCAACCAACTGAGCCAAACCAGCCAGGGCATCTCTTAGGATTTTCTACCTAAACAGCTTCACGTCTTCCTTTCCCATCGGTAATGCCTCTTTTCCTGCCTCAGACTCAGTCTTGTGTGTGATTTCTGGGAACTTTCAGTCACAGCTCTCCTGGTGGTGGTTGTCTGCCTGCCTTGAGATGTAGATACAGATATGAATTGGCTCACATAATTATGGAGGCAGACAAGTCCCAAGATTGGTGGATAGCAAGCTGGAGACTCAGGGCAGTCAGTGGTGTACATTCCAGCCCAAAGGCCAGCAGCTCCAGACCCAAGGAGAGCTGACGTTTCAAGTCTAAGTCTGGAGGCTGGACAAGCCCAGGGTACCGCCAGCAGGCAGCCAGGAGCTCCCTTTTACTCTGCCTTTCCGCTCTGATCAGGTCTCCCACTAATTGCAGACAAGCCACCCCATTAGGGAGGGCCACCTGCTTCACTCAGTCCAGATTCAAATGCTAATCTCATCCAGAAAAACCCTCACAGACACACCCAAGGTAAGATTTGACCAAATGTCTAGGCACGAGGTAGCTTGTCAACTTGAAACCTAAGGCCCTGGCTGGGTGACTCAGTTGGTTAGAGCACCGTCTCAGTATGCCAAGGTCACGGGTTCAATCCCCAGTCAGGGCACATACAAGAATCAATCATTAAATGCATCAATAAGCGGAACAGCAAATCCATGTTTCTCTCTTTCTCTCTCCCTTCCTATCTCCCTAAAATCAATCAATAAATAAAAATGTTGAAAAAATTTACATAAAATTACTCATCATAACATCCAAGCAAAGATTCCAGGAGCTCCTTGAGATTTGGGGAACTCTTTACCTCAGTCGCTTCTTCCTCTGCAGGTCTTCAGGTCTAATCAACTCAGTCTCCCTGAACTCCAGTCTCTGCCTCCAGGTCTGCCTGCAGAATTTACAGGTCCAGTGCAAAGAGAAAACCCACGCCCTTTTTGGAAATTAAGAATCTCAGGATGGTAACAGCAGAGCATTAACGCAAAGCTCAAGGTCCTTCTAAGCTCAAGACCCTCTGCAGCAGCGCAGGGCACACACCACAGGCAGCAGGCTGGGTGAGCACAGAGCACAGGTCGCTGCCTTGCTCTCAGAAACCACAGCAGTCAGGATGCTGGTTGCGCAGTGTCTGAAAATAGTTGTTTCTTAGTTTATTCAGTTTCCTAGTTGTTTACAGCAGAAAGGCCAGGCCAGTATGAGCTGCTTCACCGTGGCTAGAAGTACAGTTACCTTTTGTGTATTCTTGTATGTATATTTCATATACCTGTGCCAGATACCACATTAGGCGATTTAGTTATTTTTAAAATTATATTTCACAGTAACACAAGAGTGTGTTTGTCTTCTAAAAAATTCAAAATATTACAGCTAATGCTATGGTCCAATCCGATAACCATTCCCCATTCTAGCTCTATGACTGCTTCCCCGCTACCTTTCGAGAAGTAACTAACAATGTCAGCTTGATCATTGCTGGATCAGGGCCCTTTCTAGGCATTTATCTGCATGTCTCCAAACCCATTAGAATCTCAAAGCCATTCGGCCTACCCAGGACCCAGACGAAAAATGAAGACATGCCCATAAAGAGAGATGTACAATAATGCTCTCGCGGCTTTGCTCATAATCACCCCAAGCTGAAAACAACCCAAATGCCCATTAACAGGAGGTGAATATATGAATTGTGGACATGTATACAACGGAATTCTGCATGACCATCAAGAAGGGTAAGCTACCACTGGGTACCAGAGCATGTGTGGATCTCACAGACGCGATGTCACAGCTAAGGAAGCCAGAAGTATATACCGAGGAGTTAAAGTTCAAGAACAGGTGAAATGAATCAATGGTGGTAGAAGTCTGAATAGTGGTGTACTTATTTGGGTGGGCTGAATGAACTGGAAAGGGCAGGGGACCTGCAGCGGTAATGGAATGTTCCAGATCTTCATCTGGGTGCTGTTTACAAGGGCGAATTCACTCTGTGAATGTTGATTGAGCTGTACACTTAAGATGTGCTTATACAGCCCGGCTTGTGTGGCTCAGTGGTCATGGTTAGATTCCCTGTCAGGGCATGTGCCAGGTTGCAGGCTTGATACTGGGGGGGGGG